GTGGAAATTCCATTTGGCCTTGCTGTATCTTTCAGGGCTCTTCCAAAAGTAGTTAAAGGCATCATATTACAGTGGTAAATCCATATCCACGTTCTAAGCGGCACAAGCCATAAAAGTTTAATCTTGCAAATGGCCTTTATGCCCATCAATAGATCAATGAATAATGAACGTATGATATTTATACCCAATGGAGTATTACTCCGCTATAAAGGATAAGTCAAATTATTTGTGGGAAAAATGTACACTTTGAGACCATAATATTAAGTGAAATAAATCAGACACATAAACTTAAGTATCACATAGGGGGCCAGGGATTTAACCCAGCCTAACAGCACCTGTCTGGCAAGTGCCAGGTCCTGAGTTCAATTCCCAGCACCAAAGAAAACCATGGTTTCTCTTATATGGGAATCACAAATATAAATAAATTAAAAAGAAAAATAAAATATGAGTAATAGGAAACAGGGAGATAGATCTTTTGGAAAAGTTAAGGAGACCAAGAGACTGAGAGAGGGGGGATGGAGGCAAGGGGAAAGGGCTGAAAACTGAATTAATATGTGCTATGTATACATACTAACTACTCATGATGAAGGCAGTCATCATGTACTCCAAATATGTACCCATAAAAATAATAAAAAAAATTTTCCTTTGCAGAAAAACTTAAGCAGCTGAGAAGCAGAGCTGCATATTTGCAAACTATCGCCATGAAAGAGGACTGGGATCAAGACAAGTAAAGATTTTTGAAGACTTAACAAAGGTGCCTTGGAGTTGTAACTTATTTGTAGAGCAATTGTCTACCATGGCTGAGGCCCTAGATTCTATCCCCAATAGCAAACAATAAATGAACAAGGAAGTCAATTCCAATTATATATTTGACAAAACCATGAATAAGAAATTTCCTGAAAACTTAGAGGTATTAGCCATTATTAAAGGAATAACAAGTCAAATCATGAGATCTCAAGATGAGCCACTTGAATTAAATATTGTGACAATACCAGATACTGCAAGTATATGGAGAAACTGTGCCTCTCGTATAATGATGGTGGGAATCTAAAATGACACAATTGTTTTGAGAAATAGCTTGACAGTTTCTTATGAAACTAAATATGCAGCTAACTTAAAACACATATTCATTGTTGGACATTAATCTCAGAAAGATGAAAACTTATTTTTACTAATAAATTGCTTGAATTTTCATAGAAGTTTTATTTTTAATGGCCAAAAATTAAAAACTATCCAGATTACATGCAGTGGGGGAATAAACACTGTTGTGGCATTTTCATTCTGTGGAACATTATTCAGCAATAAAAATGAATGAACTAGGCTTGCATGCTCCACTTGGATGGATTTCAAAGGAACTATGCTGAGATAAAGGTCAATTCCAATAGGTTATATACACTGTATGATCTCATTTATATTGCCTTATGGAACAGACAAATTTATTAATAACTGATTAGTAATGGTCAGTTACTTGGGATTAGGGTTAGGTAGAAATGATATAGCTGGGGCTGGGAATTTAACTCAGCGGCACAGCACCTGCCTGGCAAGCGCAAGGTTGTAAGTTCAATTCCCGGTACCAGAAAAAAAAATAAATAAATGATGTAGCTACAGAAGGACAACAGGGGTATCACTTGAAGCAATGGCGGGCTGGGGATTTACCTCAGCGGCAAAGTGCCTGCCTGGCAAGCACAAGGTCGTGAATTCGGTTCCCGGTACCAGAGAAAAACCAAAAAAAAAAAAAAAACAAAAAAAACAAAAACAAAACAAACAAAAAAAACTTAAAGCAATGGCATTTTTTTGAATCTTGATCATATGAGCTCAATAGTTTGATTATGATATCATACTACAGTTTTACAAAATATTACCATTGAGCAAAGCTTGGTGAAGGATACATGTGACCTCTCAATATTAATTCCTGCAATTTAATATCATTCAATAATTATCTCAAGAATAAAATTTTCATTAAAAACAGGGTGTCAAAGAATATGTTACCATTTGAGGGGCAAGGGAATGCTTATAGGAACACGAACCAGATGTATATATGAAATAGCTAATGAGGCATAACTCTGAAAAGAGGAATTAAAAAATTGAAGGTCAAGATTAGAAGGCCAGGGGCCAGGGATGTAGCTCAGCAATCCAGTGCCTTCTTGGCAAGCTCAGGGCCCTGAGCTCAATTCCCGGCACCCAAAAAATAAAAGGTAAAAAATAAAAAAAAAAATAAGCATACGGGGACATTTTAAGAAATAAACTTGTTTTATATATGACAACCAAAGAAAGTAAAATAAATTGTTTCATACCTCTCCATTCACTTTTTCATATAAAGTAATAAAATAAAATTTCAAGGATAGAACTCAGTTAAAAACCATCTACTATGGAGTAAAGAATTATGTGACATGATTCTTTCAAAAGTAGACCCTACAGAAAGGGTTCAGGAAATCTCTTGTTCCTTACAATAATTGTAATCTCAGACATTACCATTATTTTCATCATTTAAATTCACATAACTAGGTATAAATCCACCTTAGCTATACATGAAAGACTTGTTAAATCATCTCATTGATATGTTTATACTCAGAACAATTATAAGAAAGACTAGAATCTTTTTTTTTTTTTTTCCAGTACCGGGAATCGAACTCATGACGTCGCGCTTGCCAGGCAGGCGCTGTGTCGCTGAGCTAAATCCCTAGCCCCTAAAGACTAGAATCTTAAAACACAAGTTAGTATTTTCTTTTTTTCATATTTTCAAATTTATATTATTTGCAAATGGAGTCTTTAAAAACCAATGGAGGGAAATTTTGACCTGAGAACTAACAATTGTCAAAATATCAGAGACTCAAATAATATCCATTGTATTCATTCACATCAACACCTAGATTATGTTATTTCATAAACTGTTTATAAACATTTTGATTAACCTTTTACAAATTGGAAAAGAAAACCATAACGAATCTGGCTTCGAATCAACTGGCATACTTGAATTTTTGTGGCAAGTTTCTTTCTTCAGTTGATCACTTTCTCTAGAGTGCTGGTTGCAATGCATTAGTTTTTTCTACAGTTTCACCTTCCATTAAAATGTAGAGAGATGAGCATAAGGCAAATGTCATCATTTTGGAGACTTTTCAACGTTTTATTCATTCTTCCAATCATAAACTCAGGAGCACATCAATTTAATTATTTAGAGGATTGGCTCAGGGTGTAGATTTAAACACATAAGAGGATCGTTATTCAGTCCTTTCAAAACTCAGACTACTAATGTGTCACATTCTTTTCTCTTCTCTCAGCAATAAGTAATGAAATAAAGAGATTACAGATGTTCAACTCAATTTAATGTCAGATAAGTGAGGACATACCTTTGTCTATCTTGCACACTCACCTCCACATATGCAAGATTAGTAAGAAATCATGATTTTTTGAAAAATAAAGACCCCAGCTGGTCTGCACAATACCTTGTAATCATACTATTACAACAATAATTCATTAATACTCCTACCAAGCCTCCACTTGTATTAAGAGTTATGTTTGAACATAAAAGTATTGGTCGATATGGAAAGAAAGAAGTATTTGTTCTTTTAAAAATCCATTAAACATTTTTCTCTAGTGTGACTGTTAATATTCATGTGTATTTCCCAACACCAAGCCTAAGTTCTATGTTGCATTTAAAAGTCACATTTCCGTTTAGCTTTTATGTGACTCTGACCTAGTCTAATGTCATACACATCTGTATGTGTGGTAATTGTTAGAACGGATGTTGAGGGGGTAGTGTCATACTTAAGACAAAGAAGTAATAGGTAACAGGGGCTGGGGATTTAGCTCAGGGGCAAAGCGCCTGCTTGGCAAGGTCAAGGTCATGAGTTCAGTTCCCGGTACCGGAGAAAAACCAAAAAAAAAAAAAAAAAAAAAAAAAGAAGTAATAGGTAACAAACAGAATTTCAGAGGTAGAAATTGAATTTTTATTTGAAAAATGTATTAGCTGATTCTGGGCTGGGGGGGTGGTACATGTCTGTAATCCTAGCACTGAGGCAGCCAAGAGTTTGAGGCCAGCCTGGGCTATACATCGGGACATTGTCTCAAGAAATAATATTAGCTGATTCTGAAACTAGTCAATAATCAATTGTTTTAAGTTTTTCTTTGTTTATTGGTTGTTTATTTGAATGAAAATGTAGAAAATTGTACAAATAGATTCATAGCCGCACTCTGTATTTTTATATCTAGCTTTTCCGTACTCTATTAGTCTAATGCTATCTATGATCAGTCATAGAGGGTATGGATTCATAGTCCATGAGGGGCTAAATGCTTAAAGTGATACTTTTAACTGCTCATATGTTACGTGGATACTGTATCAGTGCATTGTGATTGAATAAACTATATGTAACTCTTTGACAAAGACGTGTAAATGTGTGATGAATTACCCTGAGGATAATGGCAAAAATATTGCTGTCAACTTTGGCATGGGCCACGAGAGACACAGATTTAGGTATTGACCCAGCAATTTCCATTAACAAAATGATCTAGCATACCAACTTTGTATTCCCTAACATAGCAGGGTGGTCTTTCACTTCCTTTTCTCATACAGATGTCACCTAAATCATCTTTGCAGATGTGTGCGAACCAGAGGTATCTCTGCTCTATCTCCCTGTGAAGGGCAATAACAAAATGCTACAACTCATTTAGCAATAAACTAGGCATTCTTTCTGCAAGTCTTTGCTTACATTTTATTTGCAACATTTACTTCCTCTATAAATTTTATTTCGTCGTCTTTAGTAATTTCTGGAAACATAAGTAGATACCCAGATGGTATCTCTTTTCTCCATGAGCTAGAAATAATGTCTCCATATAAATTCCAATTCTATACTTTTATGATTTAGATTCTGAGTTTCAGAAAGCAGTAATACATACAAATATTGAGACAATACCTTCAACTGAAAGACATAGGGGAAGAATATAAGAATGAGAAAATAGCATGCAATTTCACTGATTCAACAGGAATAGAACTAAAAGGATACCTGATGACACAGGCGTAAAGCCCACTGTCCTGTAGTAATGTCGGTCGGAACCAAATGGAGTCTTCTTCTTTGCTCATTCTACTTCCATCAAAGGCTATTGGTTCTTCAAAGTCTCCAGGGCCAGAGCTCTTGTACCACATCAAACTGAGTCCAGCACTTTGGGCAAGTGAGTAATTTGCTCTGATATAACCATAAAAGAGTGCGCATTTGATTCGAACAGGTTCTCCCACCAAAACTTGGTATTTCTTAATGTCGACGGACCAATCAGTGCATCCATCCGCTATAGTACAAAGAGAGAGAGGAAAAATATTACGGAAAATTTAAACAAGAAGTACATTCATTCACTCTTTTAACAAATATATGCTAACCACCTATTTTGAGTCATTCTAGTTGCTGAGAATATATCAATGAATAAAACTGAAAATTACCCCAAAATATAGGCTATCCTGCTAGTAACCAATATATTCTTTCTTTAGTCTGCATCTGCTGGCAATTATTTTTAGTTTAGATCAGTATGCTCATTATTGACTCATGTCTTTCAATTCTAAATAAGCTTTTTTACCTGCTCTGTCAAAATAGATCTGGACCTTTGACGATTTTTTTTTCCTTTGCTAGCTGGTATTGAAGCTTTGTCAGTAGAGGGTGCTAGGGAGACACTGCAAGAGGAAAGGGTTACTCCCTAATTCCAGCATGCTTGCTTAGCCGGTTCTTGCAGTTTGCAAGGCTTCTCAGCTCCTAGCTCTTCCAATGAAGGGCATTGAGCAGCTCTGCAAATATTTAGCCAAGTCTTGAATGAGACACTTACTTAGGAACAGGTATTCAAGAAACCTTAGACAGAGAATCTCTGTCAACATCTTGAAGACAGATTCCTAACAAGTTATACAAATGCAGTAACCTGATGACTCTTTCCATTCGTTCTCTTTTGCTATGGACTGAATGAGCAACCCACTCATACACAGAAGCACTAACCCCCAAGATGATGGTATTTAGACATAGAACTATTGAGAGATAATTAAAGTTAGATGAGTTCATCAGTTTGTGGCTCTTCTGATAGTATTATTGCACTTAAAGGGTACATGGCAACTTGCTCTTCTCTCTCTTGTGCATAAAAAGAGGAGAGTGGCTAAGCACATAGAAAGAAGATAGCTGGCTGTAGGCCAGGAAGAGCACCATCACCAGAAACCAAATTGGTCTTGAGCTTTTCCAACAGTGCAACTGGGAGAAATAAACATCTGCAGCTGAAGCCACCCAGTGCGTCTTACTTTGTTATGGTGGCCTGAATAGACTAATACTTCTTTCACACTAACGAGTCCCTTCATTAATCAAATGCCCTGTTATATAATTCTTTATATGTTTTTTTAGTTAAAATTACTGTGTCATTTTTTCTTTTTAACACAAACTGATAAAATAAGGAATAAATACAGTCAGACAAGATAGAAATAAATAACAGTGAGTTGACTTCCAATACTGTTTTATAGTCAGAGGCAGTGACAGTTCCTTTCGTTTTCCTGTTTTTTGGGGGCATTGGGGGAAACATAAAGAAAACATAGTGGGAAATGAGAAACGTAGGGAGGGAGTAAAGTTAGATCTTCTCTGTTTTCTGAAAGTAGGATTTTCCAAGACATTTTTTTTTAAAGTTCTGTTTCTCCCTCAAGTGCATGCAGAGTAGCAGGTCACAATGGAGCAAGTATACCAATATTATCATCATCACACAGAAGTTGTGAATTTCCTCCTTATAGAGGATCATTGTCCAACACTTAGCAGTAAAATAAATTTAGCATTGCTCAGAAGATGCCTCTGTTGATCAAAAGGGCAAAGACCTAGTAAACAGGACTTCTAACAGTAATATCTGAGTGTTGTAGGGAGGGTTTAATGGAGCACAGATTAATAAGAGGATAGCCTAAAGTATCTGAGAGCAATGTGAACTATATACAATTAAAGAGAAGCAGAAGCGATCCAGATGAAAAGGAAAATGTACATTAGAGCAAAGAAAATGCATAATAATGTGTGGAATCAATTACTAACTTTATAATAGTTTCTAACATCTTAACCATGAACATTTAACTATGCACAGATGAATTTCAAATTTTTCATTTACCCTTCACAAAAAACATCCATTTGGCTTTAGATTTTGATTCCCCCTCTATCTGAAATATTTTTTTGCCATACAACTGCATTGCTTTCCCTCTCTTTCCCTCCAAATATCATTTTCACAAAGAGGCCTTTCCTATCTGTCCTCTATGAAACAATTAGTTCCTATCCAAGTTGATTCAGATTCTGCATTAATATTCTTTTCATAGGACTTGGTTCTATCGGGCACTATATTACACATCAATTTGTTGTTTGCTTTCTGTCTCTTCCAATAGAATTTAAGGCCCTGGTAATCAGGGATTTTGTCTTCTCATGTACTTATTTGAAAGCCTCAGTGCATAGAAGTGTCTGCTAAAGAGTTCAATACATTACTTACTAAATAAATGAGTGAATGAATAAACAAATAAACAGATTTGTGACCAAACAGTATATGAAGACATTCCATGACATTTAATAAAAGATTAAAATTGAGGAAGATATGTTGTATACGTGTATAAATTCCCCAAGTTGAGCATCATTATTTTGTAATACAAAGATGCACTAATACAAAGTAAGAAGTGTGAATGTTTGTGTTCTCACTCAGCTATGCACTGACCTGGAATTCACTCTCCCTGCCACTGGGTATTCTGCTCCTTAATAAAGGCCTCTATTTTACACCATTCTTTGATTTTATTCCATTTCAGTTATCAAATTCGAGGCTAAATTTCTTATTCAAATGTTGCAGCGAGAAACTACATAAAATAACTGTGCTAGAATTTTGGTGGAATCCTCAATGTGTGCATCACCATCATAAACAAACTCATCATTCCTGTCAATGACTAACTACTGTGGAGCTAGAAAACTGTAATAAATGGGATGAAAGAGCCACACAAAGCGATATCAAGGTTGTACAATTGTGTGAGATATTTATCAACAGCGCTTTGTACATTTCTCCCATTATAGGAAATGAATCCAGGGTTAGATTTTATTTTAAACATTTACAATGTTGTTGTAAGCATGGGATTATCTTGTTTTACCACTATGTAAATTACAACACAACTCCAGAATCAAGTAATTCTTACTGAAACTGTTTATCACACAAGGTAGTGCTGCCTCTGTAAAAGGTAGGAAAGGCTTCAAGGTAGCAGTTTAAAGAGTAAGATGAAAGTATTGAAAATCTCAGAAGGTTTAAAAAATAAAACAAGATACTTGAAGGTAAAAACAAAAGATTTACTCTAGAAAGTTCCAAAAAGTAAGTAACAAATTAGGTCAGGAGACTAGAGGAGGAGTTGTATTGGACATAAGTAAACATTAGTAAACACTTTCAGAAGATGCTTACTGAGTAAAACAATAAAAAGACATAAACATTTATGAAATTTGGCATATTCAGTACTTAACTATTGGCCACAGAAGAAAATTTTGAATGACAAGGGGAACTTTGCAAGAAAAAGCCAGAGGCAGGATGAAGAAATAAGACGAGAGTAAGAGAGATTCACTATGTTCATTTTAACATGGAAATCATAGATTATGATTTAGGAAGTTTACCACCACTTGATTAAATGAATGTTGTTTATAAATAAACTCAAATTATTAAGTTGTTTTAACAATTTTTGCTAAGAGATAGCAAATACAACAAAGGATAATTTGGGATATATTTAATTTTTCATAAAGAACATTTAAATAAATAATGGAATTGTATCCATTTTCAAAGTGACAGTAAATTATTTTTATATGAAAGAAGTGGGGCTGGGGATTTAGCTCAGCGGCAAAGCGCCTGCCTGGCAAGCACAAGGTCGTGAGTTTGGTTCCCGGTACCAGAGAAAAAAACCAAAAAAACCAAAAAAAAAAAAAAAAGAAAGAAAGAAGTGATAACTGAAGTTTTGTGTACATGTTCTCTTTCTCACTCTGTATCACATTTTTTCCTAAAGCATTTGAAAATAAATTAAATTACAGTTATAATGACATCTCACTAAAATACTTCAATATAGCTTTATGAATACAGTCACCTCTCATATAAGCACAAATTCATTTTTTCTTTTTTTATTTTAAAGAGAGTAGTATATGAGAAACAAACAAACAAAAAAATAGAACAGTAGCAGCATACCAGTATCATGAACATAAACAAATCAAAACAAGAACATTCAACGTGATACAGAGTATCAAGAAAAATTAATACAAATCAACCGTGGTTGTTATACTGCATATCACTATCCTCAACTACATTGCTCAGATTATCAGATGTAAGAATGGAAGATTGCTCAAACCATTAAAGGGAATAAGAAAATAATTCTTCAATAAAACATTAGAGATAATACGGAGTTTCACTAGACAAGATGGTAGGAGTTCACCATTGTAATTCCATTGCATATTGTCAACTTTAAATCAGTTGCTCAGACCACCAGACACAAGCATGCAAAGTCAATCAGAACATAAAAAATTGTGAGCATTAACTGTTCATTTCAATACATCATCAGACAACAGCAATACAGTCATCACAGCTATTCATATATGTAAGAAATTCTTTTTTAAAAAAACTTTCTGTAATAAAACATGGCTCATCTTGAAAGGATATGTAATCACGTAAAAATTAACTCTTGATGAGCAGAATTGCTGCAATCCTTCCTTCAGTACACAAGCTCGGTAGCTTTGGAACAATCGTTTCAGAATCACATTTCCACATGTGATTTGTTCCAATATATACGTTATCAGGCAGCTATTCTTATTATCGCTATTATTATTAAAAGTTTTAGGTAATTGTCTAGGCCAGAAGTATTTAATCTATTTTCCTTCTTTCATAATAAAATATTCTATAAAGCCACCTCAGAGTTTTCTATTGTCCTTCCCTGATAGGAGGATTCCAAGGAAGTACTCGAATTCAATACTCTTTTGCAGTGGGTATTCTTTTACAACCATTGGATAGTTATGAAGCCATAAAATTATGTTGGGGAACAAGGGTAGGAAGCATAATCTTCGTTCTTTTTTCTTTTTTTTGTTACTACTCATAAAGTTCTAGAAGCTTTACAAAGACATTGATGGAACTGAGATTCAGAACTAGTTCCCTTATTCAGAGTTTATACTGAAGAATTGCTTAATGAACAAAAGCCGTATACACTAAATAATGTCAATATATTCAAATGAGATTAGTGAAAATATTTGTAATTAAGTTACTATTACAACATATCTAAGAGCTCAAAATATTTCCATGGTAAC